CCCCCCATATCTAACCCCCCCCCTTCCACCCCCTCTTAGCCCCACCTCCATGTCAGAGCAGCAGAGAGATTTTTTTATTTATTTTTTTTAAAATGTGTTTATTTTCTTTTTCCTCCTCCTCCTCGTAGCTCGTACCCTCAGCAGCAGTTTGGGCAGCAGGGGGCCCCGGGGCAACAGCAGTTTGGGCAGCAGGGGAACCCGGGGCAGTACGGAGCCATGATGATGAACGGGGGCATGGCAGCCAGTGGAGGAGGAGGACACATGGGGCAGATGGGAGGACAGATGGGTGTGAACCCGATGGTGATGGGACGCCTGCCAATGGGACCTGATCAGGTGTGTACTGTAGGAGGCGCCGATGAGTCAGAGTACTCCTGGAACAGTGCGGTAGAATCATTAGAAGTTTGGAGGGTTTTTTTTTTTTTCAGATAAGAATAAACGTGAGCTCCACCTTTAATGTCAGAGACAATAAACGTGAGCTCCACCTTTAATGTCATGTTTTTATTTTTCATTCACCAATGAAACTTACGTGTTTTTTTCTCCCTGTTTTTTTTTTTTAGAAATACTGCTAAAGACCAGAGGAGTTAATTTCACTGTGATCTCCATCAGAGACAGAGGTGGGACACAGCTGCAGCACTGACAGGGGGGGTCAGGGGTCAGGGGTCAGGGGTCGGGGGGTGAGCAGACGCTGCTGCTGCTCTAACTGTGCACACAGAAACACACACGTCGTTCATGAGAATCAGAAACACTGTGAGTCACACACACACACACACACACACACACACACACCAGGACTGTGTGTCCCTTCTGTCTCTGCGTGGACAGTGTGTCCTCCAACACTCACTGGACGCAGTGGTCAACCACAGCCAGTGGACGAGCATTTTTTGTGCAGATCACAGACCTGGACGTCCAGACTGATCCATGAATGTACCACCAGGGGTCCGATGATGGACGTGTCCACAGTACAGTGGGACAGTTCTGAAATTAAATGGACCCCCCCCCCTCCCTCTGCTGGACTCCTCTGACTCTCGTGTTGGCAGTTGCACTTTAAGGACAGGCCACCGTCCCAGGATTGTGTCGACACTGAGGCCTTTACTGGAGAACGCGGCGGACGTTGAAGGGTTAAGTTTTTTCGTCTTTCTCTTTTTCCACTCGAAACGGAGGCTGTGAGTCGGGAATGAGTAACATTGACCAAAGGAGGGCGCCGTTCAAGCACACAGGTGTCGCTCTCTCGTCCGCAGAGAAATTATTTATTACACAAAGAGGATTTCATAGTTTTATGATCGTTGAGGGGAAAAGAGGAAAAATTTGCTCCTGGAAAAGTTGGGAATTTCACGTCACGGTCGGCGCTCCGTTTATATTTCTACAGATGGACCAGAGGTTTTTTTTGTCAAACCGCGGGTGATTTTTAAATTTGAATATTGCAAATATTTTGGTCTCTGGTTTTAGAGTGTAATGATAAATTAAAGTGACACTCACGGATAAAAAAGGGAAATCTGCCGGGAGAACGGACCGGCGGGTTTCCAGCAATAATCCTTCATCCTGGTTTTCCTCTGAGGACAAAGTTGTACTCAAAGTGACGGTACTGCAGTATTAGACACGATGTCTTGTTTGGAGACGTATTTCTTGGTTTTTTGTTTTTTGTTTTTTTTCCTCCTTTGTCTGTGAATATGAATTGTAAATCTGATTCAAATGTACTATAAAATACATATAATAAAATATATATATATATAAATATACATATTTGCTTTTGTAGGTCACATACTGTTTTTGCACATATTGTAAGGCTTGATATTTAAAAGTGTCATTTTCCTATTTCGTCATAGTTTCCAGTGCTTTAGACTTTGGTTTCAACGTCTTTCAGAAATATATATGTATATATATATATATAGATATATGTCTGTATACATATATGTATATATGTATGGATATATGTACGTATACATATATCCATACACATATATAAACATGTGTTTGTATATATATTTACATAAATATATGCGTATATATTTACATATATATGTATGTAAATATATATTTTTGTCTTAACTTTCTCTTTATTTCCTGAGGGTTTAGTTCAGCGCAGCAGTGAGTTCATTTATTGAAGCGTCCATTTTGTCTCTGCCTAAAACTTAAAAAAAAAAAAAAAAATTTAAATATACTTTCTGCTACATGAAGGGGTGTGGTCTGGAGGAGGAGGCCGTGATGTCACAGCGATGATGATGTCACAGCAGTGTGTGAGTTTGACGTCTTTGCTCTCGTTTTCCTTCGACACAGTTCTACAGCTTTTTTTTTTTATTTATTTAAAGAAAAGCTCAATCCAAAGATTTTTTTTGTTCTGTCCTTCTGCAGTACTTCTTAGAAACAGTACCTGCTGTAGATCGTGAGAGTACTCGTACTTGTGTACTTTTACCCTGACATACCCTGTGATGTACTCTGAACTACGTGTGTGTGTGTGTGTGTGTGTGTGTGTGTGTGTGTGTGTGGAGTCTGCTTCTGCTGAGGTGGTTTGTTTTTTGGACTTTTTTGTTTGTTTTTTTTGTGTTCGTTTTCTTCTGTGTGGAACTCGACGCCTTGTTCTTTTGTGGTGCTGCAAACAGAATGTGGATGTAGTACCAGAGATCTACCACACGATGTCACTGCGTCTCAGAATCTGAGCTCATATTTGATGTTTTGGTGTTTTTATTTTAATTCTTATTCTAATGGTTATTTTGGAATGACCTTTTTGACGAGCAGCGATCGGTGGGAGAATCAGAAAAGTTCACTTTACGACAGCGCAGGAAGGGGGCGCTGACGGAGACGCGTGTGGAAATCGTACAGTAATTATTACAGGATGTAAAATACAGTTGCAGTTTTTTCTTACCTTGTTTCTCGATGTTAATATTGATGTAAATATAAATTTATATTTAAACATTACACTGTCTGTCCTCGTCTGTTTAATCACGTGACCTGTGACCTCTGCATGAACTGGTGAGAAAATCAAACTGTTGGTTCATGGACCGTAGTCTGACCACCGTCAACCACTAACATCTACATCTGTCCCTGCAGACGGGATCCAAACGACCTGTCGAAGTCCAAACTGATAATCTGAACCGGCAGTGAAGTGGGATTAAATTAGTAATCCAAGTCTGATCGTCCAGTTCTGTGGTTCAAACCGTGGTTTCCTCCCGTCAGCAGTGACCGGTGTGAAGACTGGTTTGTTTTAATCGATATTTTAAAATTTCCTCACAAGAACAGGAATACCTGTCAGGAATTATTCAGTCCACACCAGAGACCAGAACCAGGACCAGAATCAGGACCAGGACCAGAACCAGAACCAGGACCAGAATCAGAACCAGGACCAGGACCAGGACCAGAACCAGAACCAGGATGACAGGTATATTATATGAATACATTTTTTGTTGCTTGTTTGTTTTTTTGTAGATCACCTCCAGCAGGTGGCGCTCTGGGCTGAGCGCCTATATGTTCTGTTCCAAGAAGCCGCTGCAATGAATGTATTATTTAAATTTTTGTTTCTTAGTCTAAGGTCAAGACTATGGTGCTGAAGGAGAGGGGGAGGGAGGGGGGAGGGAGGGAGAGGCGTGCAATACCAAATTCTAGTAGTCTCTCTCTCATCCATTCCTTTTGTTTCTTAGTCTAAGGTCAAGACTATGGTGCTGAAGGAGAGGGGGAGGGACCCTCTCTCTCTCTCCCTCTCTCTGTCTCCCTCTCTCTGTCTCCCTCCCTCTCTCTCTCTCAGTGCCACAGCCCTGACCTTAAAGTCTCTCATTCTTCCGGTACAGACACCTGTCAACATCAACACCCGCAGCTCCGTGCACCGAGTCGTGCACGCGCTCTCGTCCTCCTTAAACGCGTCTCCCTCCGAACAGAGTAAAGTTCCGCCGCCGCTGACTGACCAACTGTCTGACTAACTGACTAACTCACTAACTAACTGACTAACTAACTGACTGACTAACTGACTGTTTTATTTCTGTTCTGTTTTCGTTTCTTTTTTCTCTCCGTCTTTGTCTCCATGACTTCGCCGCTCT